CTCTCACCCCACCCCCTCTCCACATCCTCACCTCCTCCCCTACCCCCTCCCCCCCCACTCGAGGGACGTGAGGTCAGGAGAGAAGGAGGGACGATGACCCGGCTCGGGGCTGGGTCACAGCTCCCCTCGGGTCGGGTCGCCTTCGGGCACTGGCTCTGGTGGACTGATAGATGAGTATATGGATAGATAGGTAGATGGATAGACAGATAAATAGATAGAAGGGAGGGAGAGAGAGAGAGAGAGAGAGAGAGAGAGAGAGAGAGAGAGAGAGAGAGAGAGAGAGAGAGAGAGAGAGAGAGAGAGAGAGAGAGAGAGAGAGAGAGAGAAACCAAACAGAAAGAGAGATAGGGTGATGGAAAGACAGTATGTGTTTGCATGCGTGTAACTATATATGTATGCATGAGTGTATGCACGTCTGTATGCATGTGTGTATCTGCATTCCTGTCACTAAAAGTTTCCCGCTGGTCCCTCAACTCTTAATTTGCCAGCTTTAAAGATTAACGGTTGGTCGCTGGCCGCGCGCCAGGCGAATCTCCTTCAACGTTCAATGACCACAAGAAAGAAAAAAATATAATCAAATAAAATAAAACGAAAAACATAAAATATAGAAGGAAATAAAAGGAGAGAAAAATATATATTCAACAATTTTAGACAATACGGACGTTGCAGATTCAAATCAACGAGACAGAACGGATCCAAGTTTTTAAAAGGCTTCAATTCTTCTTCAAAGAAAGAGAATAATAATGAATAATTATATCAAAGGGTTATCTGATTAAGCCTTTTGTGTTTATCTGCGACGCAATTTGTATAAACAGAACTTTACGAGTCTGGCAAAGGTTTATTTTTGGGTAAAGAATATATACATCCCTTATCCTTTATTGTGATTCCAGAGACATCTATGTTTGTGAGAATGACAAACGAGAAAATTAAAGCAAAATATATTGGCAAACTGTTTAGCAAGTCGGAGCTATTTCTATTCAAATTTGTTTGTTTTTCCCCTAAAAGTGAGAAAGTTCTTATGGAATCGTTGCAAAATCATCGTTTAAAAATTCTTAATAATATATTGAAAATTGTAAAAAAATATATATATAACAATAATAATAACCATAAAGCAATAACGAAAGGAAAAAGATGAAGAAAAGAAAAAAGAAATATAACAAACAACGAACAATAAATAAAGAAAAATACGAAAGGAAGAAAAAAACGTGAACCAGCACGTCCTTTTAAAAGAAAAGCTGGTAATCTAGTACTAATGACCGTTTGAGAACTCACGAGAATTCGAAAATCGCGCCGTTTGACACAGGAAGTCGCACGCTGCCGCCAAAATGCCACGCTCATGGACGTACCTCTCTCTCTCTGTCTCTCTCTCTGTCTCTCTCTCTCTCTCTCTCTCTCCCTCTCTCCCTCTCTCCTCTCTCCTCTCTCCTCTCTCCTCTCTCTTCTCTCTTCTCTCTTCTCTCTTCTCTCTCTCTCTTCTCTTCTCTTCTCTCTTCTCTCTTCTCTCTTCTCTCTTCTCTCTTCTCTCTTCTCTCTTCTCTCTTCTCTCCTCTCTCCTCTCTCCTCTCTCCTCTCTCCTCTCTCCTCTTTCTCTTTCTCTTTCTCTCTTTTTCTCTCCCTCTCTCTGTCTCTGTCTCTGTCTCTGTCTCTGTCTCTCTCTCTCTCTCTCTTTCCTTCGCTCTCTGTCTCCTCTTTCTCTTTCTCTTTCTCTTTCTCCTTCTCTTTCTCTCCCCTCCCTCCCTCCCTCCTTCCCTTTATCCCCCTCTCTCCCTCCCTCTTCTTCTTCATCTCCCTCTCCTCCTCATTCTCTCCCCATGGCTCACAACCCCAATCCTTGGGAGAGAGAGAGAGAGAGAGGGAGAGAGAGAGAGAGAGAGAGAGAGAGAGAGAGAGAGAGAGAGAGAGAGAGAGAGAGAGAGAGAGAGAGAGAGAGAGAGAGAGAGAGAGAGAGAGGGAGGGAGGATATAGCAGAACCAGTCATTTAGCGCAGCCCATAAACTCTCGTGTGTTTTTACGGCTCAATTTATGATATCTTTAATAACCTACAAACCTGCTTATGGGATTTCTTTAGCTTTTTTTGCGGTGAACTTTGGCCTGCCCGTTTCCCTTTAGAATCATTATATTTCAGTTCTTTTGTTCTAATTATCTGCCTGCCTGTGTGTCTGTCTGTCCGCCACGGTTTATCTCCCTGCTAGGGAGATAAATGTGTGTTTGTCTGCCAGGGTCTGTATTCCTGTCTGTATTTGTTTGTCTTTCAGAGTGTCTGTCTGTCTTCTTTCCTGCCTGCCTGTCTGTCTGCCTGCATGCCTGCCTGCCTGTCTCCCTGTCTGCCTGCCTGCTTGCCTGCCTGCCTGCCTGCCTGCCTGCCTGTCTGCCTTTATTTCTTCTTAACAAACCCGTCTAATTCCCCAATCTATATAAGGATTCTCAACTCGGCGTGACTACAATTTTTTCCCATTAGCTACTGCTTTCCCCATCTCTTGAATATATTATATGTATTTTTTCCACGAATAACTTTCTCTTCCGAAGAACGCGAGCAAACGCAAACGATGAAGAAGAAATTAAAAGAAAAAAAAAGATAGGAAAAAAATCTTTCTCAGAAATGTCACGACTTCGGTGTCTGAGCTGGATGCTGAGTCAACGTTTTGTCTCTCTCTCTCTCTTTCTTTCTCTTTTTCTCTTTCTTCCTTTCTTTCTCTTTCTTTCTCTTTCTTTATTTTTATTTTTTTCTGTTTCTGATTCTTTTTAGTTTTTATGTTTATGCGTATTTATACACGTGTACTTATTTGTATACGCAAGTGCGCCGTTCCATCATAAACACGACCTTCAATAACAAACACATTCAACACAATGGCAAGCATGCAACTCCGTACACTCACACCAACCCCCCTACACCCCCACCCATACCCAATACCCCTACCTCCACCCCCCATACCCCCACCCCACCCCATGCCCCTGCGCAAGTAAACAATCGGGCGCGCATGCGTACTCACCGGCGCTCGGGGATCGGTCATGCACCACGCGGGACCAGCGGCGGGAGTGGCGCTGAAATTTCCAGTTGCCCGACAGAGCGCACTCCTGCTCCTCGTCGTCGGATTCCTCCGCCTGGAAGAGAGGGAGAGGCTTAGTTGGAGAAAAGAGAAAGAAAGAAGAGAGAGAGAGAGAGAGAGAGAGAGAGAGAGAGAGAGAGAGAGAGAGAGAGAGAGAGAGAGAGAGAGAGAGAGAGAGAGAGAGAGAGAGTGAGTGAGTGAGTGAGAGTGAGTGAGTCTTAGAATAATATTGTAAGGATAGAAAGAGTCTAATTAGTTAATCATTCTAATAATAACAAGGGAAAGAGAGAGAGAGCAAGTCAAAAAGAAAATAAATATCAGGTCACTATTAGAAAATAGAAAATATAGGATAAAAAGATATGCATGTTTACAGAGAAGAGACAATATCTATGTAATAATGATTACAATAATATATGCGTATAAACTAATACTAATGATAATGATAATAACAATATTATTATTAAGATTAACAATAACAATGATAATTATGACAACAATAATAAGAACAAAAATAACAACAGTAATGATGATGATGATGATGATGATAATAATAATAATAATAATAATAATAATAATAATAATAATAATAATAATAATAAAAATAATAATAATAATGACAATAATAGTAATGAGAACACTAAATGAAGATGCTGTCATCTCTTTTTATCTTGGTTACGTGACTAAATAGTAGGACGCATATCCTCCCCCCCCTTTGCCCCCCCTTCCCCTTCCCCTCCCCCCCTCCCGACACATGCCTATCTCTGTCGCTCCAGCCTCCGCGACTCCCTCTCGTCTCCTCTTCTCCGCTCTTATTCGTGTCTGCCTCCTCCTCCTTCTTCGTCCTCGCCTCTCCTGTTTCTCCTTCTCCTTCTTCTTCATATTCCCCTTCTCCTGTTTCTCTTTCTCCTTCACTTTTTTCCTCTTCTCATTCTTCCTTTACGTTCTCTTCTTCCCGTTTCCCATCCCTCTTTCTCCCTCTCCTCCTCTTCTCCTATTTCTACCCTTTATCTTTCCCTCTTCCATTCCTTCTCTTCCTCTTCTCCCCTTTCACACCTCCTCCCTTTCTCCCATCTCCCCTCCTCACTCATCTTCTCCCCCCCCCCGGGATCTCTTCCTCTCTCTCTTTCTCACCTTTCTCATCTTCCTCCTATTCCCCTTCTTCGCTAATTTCACCCCTCTGCTCTCTCCCATCGTCCCTCCTCCTCTACCTTCCCCCATTCATTCTTCACCCTGGCTCATTCCCTCCCTCCCTCTCCTCCCCCACCCCATCCCATCCTTCTCCTCCCCCTCCCCCTTCCCTTCCCCTCCTCCTCCCCCTCCTCACTTCCCCTATCCCCTACCCCATCCTCCTCCTCCTCCTCTCACCTCGCCCTCTCTCCCTCCATCCCTTCCCTCTCCTCTACCCTATCCCCTTCCCCCACCCCGTTCCCCCCTCCCTTCCCTTTCCCCATACCCACCTCCCCACCCCCTCCATTCCTCCCTCCCTCCCTCCCTTCCCCCTCCCCTCCTCTATCCCCACCCCCCTCCCTTCCTCCCTCCCTCCCTTCCTCCTCCTCCACCACCTCCTCCTCCCCTACCTACCCCCTCCCTCCCTCCCTCCCTTCCTCCCTCCCTCCCTCCCTTCCTCCCTCCCTCCCTCCCTCCCTCCCTCCCTCCTTCCCTCCCTCCTCCCTCCTCCTCCTCCCTCCTCCTCCTCCTCTTCCTCCTCCTCTTCCTCCTCCTCCTCCCTCCTCCTCCTCTCACCTTGTTCTTCCTGGCCGAGTCGAGACGGATCTTGGCGCACCGGTTGAGCGCCCTGAGCCTCCTGAAGAGAGCCTGGAGGGAGTCGCCGTCCAGGAAGGTGTGGTCCCGCTCCACGCACACCAAGTCCAGCGGGAATTGCAACTCTGGAATGGGAATACATGCAAAAATACATTTTTTAAGCATTCAACAAGGAGTGTCTATTATTTATCAGGTAATTATTAGCACCTTCCAACATATTTGCATAAATCTAATTCATCGCACCAAATTCACAATTCCAATAGCCTAAAACAATAAGAAAAACAACAACTATACTACACCTACAGCCATCCCATAAAAAGACTTAAACAATGATAATGATAATAATATCACTCTCAACACGTCCCGACGGAGAAGCACGTGTACTCACCCTCGTACATCTGCGCATACTGAGGGAATCCCGCGGCGCGAAGCCACTTGCATGCTTCTAACGCCTCGAGCTCTGGAAAGGAAAAAGACAAAAAAGAAGTTAGAGATAAAAAAAACATTATAAAAAGAAATGGGATACGTAAGAGTGCCGAGAAAAAAAAATGAGTAATGAAATGGTGAAACGAAGGTGGTGAAAGAAATGAAATTTTGGTGGGGGAGAGAAATTCAATTTTTGAAGGTGAAAGAAATATTGAAATGGTGGTCAATGAAACGAATGTGAAACAAATTTTGAAAAAAAGTGATCTCAGTATGTGACAATGTTGTTAGAGATGGAGGATGGAATGATATTGAGAATTCTGGTAAATAAATTCGCGGTAGATAAAACGAGTAAGGCACATATAATCACATGCAGAGCAGATCTACATTCACACCTGTACCTACGCGCGCTCTAGTGGTAGAGGGAGGGAGATAGAGTCAGATATTACAATATACACAGATATACATAAACACATAGCTACGTGCATACACTTACATAAAACACACCGAACACAAACACACACACACGCACACATACATACACACACACACACACACACACACAAACCAATAACAACAACAACAACAGCTCTCATCCTACGCTAACCCCCTCCCCCATTCCCCAGCCCCCCCCCATCCTGCAGGACCCACCGACGGCGCCTCGGCTCCTGATGGCAAGAACTCTCTGCACTGACCTTCTGCTGTGTTATGCGGGTTTCGCTGACCTTGGCGAACGTCTGGACTCGGCTGACCTTACCATCTCATTCCTCTATGCAATCCGCTCTTTTATTAGTGTAATTCGCTAAAATGGTTTAATAGGTGACCTTTCCTTTCTTTCGCAAACGGTTCCTGACTTTCGTATTTTTTCTTTTTCTTGCAAATTTATGGCGATTTTGTTCTTTCTTAATTCTAGAATTTTTTTCTTTCGTTTTTTTCTCTCCCTGATTCTAAATCTTATATTTTCTTTTGCCACTACGATTTTTTCCTTCCTTTCTTTCTCTCTTCTCTTTTTTTTTCTTTTTTCTTCTATCTCTTCTTCCGTTTCTTCTCTCAAATTCTATGAACCTCTCATACCCTTCGCTTAATTATCAATTTTCTTATCCTTCAATCTTCCGCCTTCAAAATAATTCTAATGTATTCAGGGGATTATTTACCTCTGCTATTTCTACTTTCTTTCTTCTCCTTTCTCCTTTCACTTAATGGCTGTGGTTCACGCCCCCCCCCCAACCCTCTCATACCCTCCTCTTCCTCTCCCCCATTCTCCCTCCTCGCATTTTTCCTTCCCTGCTTCCCTCCCTGCTTCCCCCATCCTCCATCCATCCCTCTCTCCCTTCTTCCCTTCCCCCTCCCTCCCTCCTTTCCTTCTTGTACTCTTCTCTTTCCCCTTTCCTTCTCCCTTTCCTCTTCTCCCCGTCCATCTGTGTCCATCCTTCGCCTCTCGTCCCCCCCCCCAACCATCTTCCCCCACCCTTCTCTCACTCTTCTTCACCACTCCCACTCCCCTCCCTGCCTCCCTCCTTCCCTCCTTCCCACTCACTTTCCCTTCCCTCTCCCTTCTCTCACCCCCCCCCTCCTTCCCACCTCCTCAACCAACCCTCTTACCCCCCTCTCCCTCCCCCCCCCGTCACCCCGCTCCCTCCGCCTTCTCTTACCCTCCTCCTCCCCCTTCCCCCCTTCCCTCTCTTCTCTTCCACCCCTCCCTTCTCCCTCTTTCCCACCCCCTCCACCCTTTCCCCCCTTCCTCTCTCTTCCTCCCTTCTCCCTCCCTTCTTTAACCCCCTCACATCTTCCTCTCCCCCCCTTCTTTTACACCCCCCTCCCATCCTCCTCTCCCCCCCACCTTCTTTTACCCCCACCTATCCTCCTCTCTTCCCCCCCCCCTTTCTCCGCGGGGTGCGCCAACCACAGTGTCCCGACCGCTCTTGTCACCTCGTCCGCCACACATAAAAATTGTCACCAGCCGCTGGGTCGTTCGGTCGCCTCGCTTGATTTTCCTTCTTCCTTTTTCGCCTCGCCTTTTATCGCTTTTTTTCGCCTTCGTCTCGCTTTTCGTCTTGAAGGTAAATCTGGCAAGTGGCTGAGAACCGGACCTCATTACACCCCCCCCAAAAAAAAAAAAAAAAATTATATATATATATATATATATATATATATATATATATATATATATATAAACAGATATCATAAATGGGTAACAGAGTAATAAACAAATAAATAAATAAACAAGTAAACAGATAAAAAAAACGAAATAAAAAGGCAACATCTGTAGTTATCGTCACCGGGATTACGCATAAAGACTACTATCAACTAATTAGACTTTTTTTCAGCAACATAAAACAACAACAAACTAGCAAAACACAATATATTTTTTTTCCAGAACCACAAAAAACAAACAAACAAATAAACTAAAAGAATAATCAACAACAACAACAACAAGAATTTCGAGTCTGTAGAAGTCCATCTACCCGGTTCCTCGAAGGTCTAAAATCCTATTGACATTGGTAAGACTTCGGACTTTATGTAAAGGATTCTTAATAACGCGTGGATAACCGGGCACCGTAATGGAGGATTTTTGATAAGGTTCTTGTCGAGTGTTGGGAAGATGTGGGAGAGGAAGGGAGGAAGAGGGAGGGAGGGAGAAGGAGAGGAAGAGAGGGAGAGGGAAGAGAGGGAGAGAGGGAGAGGGGAAGGGAGAGAGAGAGAGAGAAAGAGAGAGAGAGAGAGAGAGAGAGAGAGAGAGAGAGAGAGAGAGAGAGAGAGAGAGAGAGAGAGAGAGAGAGAGACAGACAGAGACAAAGAGAGAGTCAGACAGACACAGACACACATACAATGAGTGAACCCGAAATAAAATCTCGAAGAAAGAGATAGAAAAAGATAAAAAATCTCGGCGCTGCCCCGTCGGTGTTTCTCTCCGGGTCCCCCTTACCTGCCGCAGCGAAGGTGGACAGGAGAGCCAACGAACGCAGGAAGAAACAAAGCAAGAAGAAAGAGGAAGGCAGGAAGATAGCGGTGATAAGGGGTGGGGAGGGGAGGGGGGGGGGTCGGCGATGGGGAGATAAGGAGGGGGAGGTAACGGGAGGTGATGAATGGTGACCTCTTCGCCCCCCCCCCATTCATCCGCTCCCCCCCCATTCCCCACTCCCCCTCCTTGGCCTGGCGCGTAGTTGGTAGGTGTGGTTGGGAACGAAGGAGAGGGAGGAGGAGGCAAGGGAGAGGAAAGAGGAGGCAAAGAAGGAAATGAGAGGAAGGAGGCACAGGAGGAGAGTAAGGAGAAGGCAAAAAAGGAAGGAGAGGAAGGAGAAGGAAGAGGAGGAGAGGGCGAGAGGAGAATGGATTAAAGCAATCGAGAAAAGAAAGGAAAGAGAAGCGATAATCTATAAACACAGTCAAACGAAGCGAAAACAAAGGGGAAAAAAAAAAAGAATCGAGTAAAATATCACAGCGAAAACCCATCCAACGTAAACACCAGAGTCCAGAAACACACAAAAAAGAACTCATTAAAGAAATCCAAGATAAAAAAACAAAAACACTCACGCCACAAGTTGACAAACACGAGCGAATCACACTCCTCCTCCTCCTCCTCCTCCTCCTCCGGCTCCTTCCCCGTCCCCGCCCCCGACGGCGCCTCCCTCCCGCCCCGGCCGCGCCTCCTCCGGCAGCGCAGTTTCCTGAGGGACGCCGAAGGGCCGAGACCAGGAGCAACCATCGCGCCCGCCCGCCCGCACGCCCTCACCTCGCGCACTGGAGGCTTGGAGCTACAAACCGCGCTATACGTTGCAAGGCCGAGGGAACTGGTGCGCGCCGGAGCAGCCTCGCCGTCTTGCAATGTCGCCAGGGAGGGGGAAGGGGGGGGGAGAAGGGGGATTTAATCCAGAGAGTAAGGGAGGGGTGTGGGGGAAGGTGTGGGGTTACTCCGGAGAGTAAAGGAGGGGATTGTACTTCCTTGAGCAGGGAAGGGAATTGAAAGGAAAGGAAGGGAACGGAGGGGAAGGGAAGGGGAGGGAAGGGGAGGGAAGGAGAGGGAAGGGGAGGGAAGGGGAGGGAAGGGAAGGGAAGGGAAGGGAAGGGAAGGGAAGGGAAGGAAAGGGAAGGGAAGGAAAGGGAAGGGAATGGGAGGGAAGGGGAGGGAATGGGAGGGAAGGGAAGGGAAGGGAAGGGAAGGGAAGGGAAGGGAAGGGAAGGGAAGGGAGTACTTCAAGGGAGCAGGTAGGGTCTAGATGGTCGGGTGGAGGAGGGGGGGAGGGGGGTGCTTCAGAGAGCGAGCAACACCGCCGCTTTACCCGCTTCTGTTCGGTTGCTTCATTATACTATGCATCGGGGCTTGGGACGCGCGCTGCATCCCCGAGGAACTGGTCTGTGTATGTTTCTAATTCATTCGCTTTTTTTTTCTTTATTCTTTTTCTTTTTCTTTTTTTTAATATATTATTCTCTCGCGCTGCGGATAAAAAGAGCCAGTTCGATGTCCTCTTTCTCCTCACTTCATTATTTTTTTCCTCCTCGTCTTTCCGGTTTACCAGTTTTCTTCTACATTTTCAATTTATTTATTTTTTTCTTGTGTCTCCAAATTACCAGTTTCTTCTATGCCTCCAGTTTAACAGTTTCTTCTGTCTCCAATTTATCACTTTTCTTGTCTCCTGTTAAACGACTATCTCTGTTTTTTTCTTTCCATTATCCAGTTATTTCTTCACTAATTTACCAGTCTCTTCTCTATCCTCGTATTTATCACCATCTTTAGCATCCGTGTCTTATTCCCTCTCGTCTTCCCTTTCAACCACACTTCCCGACGTTGCGAATTTGCAACATTATTCCCCTCTGCAAGAAATACGCGTTGTCCAGGTAGCTTAACACACTATGGCAGTTGAGGAGCGACTCTGAGGGCCGGTGAAAATTGCGGCGAATGAGGTAGACTGGTAACAATGGAGTTGGGGAGGGGGGGGGGGAGAAGGGGGGGGGGGGGGAGGAGGGGAGGAGGGAGGGGGGGAGGGGGAGGGAGAAGGAGGGGGGGGAATAGAAGGGAGGGAGAAGGAGAGAGGGAGG